TCACTAGCTTGGGTCAGCTGATTCTATGGGTTTCCCCATCATGGTCTTGGCTCCTTTGTTCATATTCTCATTCCTCCCTCACTTCGACTGTACTCCAGGAGGTCTGTCCAATGGTTAGACATCTCCACATCTGCTTCCATCTGCTTCTGGAAGAGGGATGTAGCTTCTCTGGGGTTGTGAGTTGTAGGCCCTCACCAAACCTTTTTTGAGGGTGTAATTCTTTAGCCGTTGTTTACTTCTATTTCTCCAGGTTTTTTTCTTCATAAAGTCAGTTTATTATAGCATTATTTATACTTATAAAAGCTACATAATTGCCTGGGAACACGTAAAAGCTTACGCTTGTCAGTGAAATTTAGCTATTTAAGGGACAGTAAACATTCCTGTTAGATTGAGCAGTTTTGCAATTCTCTTTAGGGGAGAATAGGTATGTATCAGAACTTGGTATTCTCTTCTTCATCATTCTTAAAATTTATTTTACATATCAACTACAGTTTCTCCTCCCACTCCCTCCCTCCACCAAATCAACTCCTCCTGTCTCTACTTAGTTGGGGTAAGGCCTCCCGTGGGAATCAAAGCATGGCACATCAAGCTGAGGCAGGACCAAGCCCCCCTCCCCCCCAATCAAGGCTTAACAAGGCATCCCACTATAGAGAATAGATTCCAAAGAGCCAGCTCATGCATCCGGAACAGGTCCAGGTCCCACTGCTAGGGGCCCCACAAAGGACCAAGCTATACAACTGTCACCCAGATGCAGAGGGCCTAGGTTGGTCCCTTGCTAGTTTCCTAGCTGTCCTTCCAGAGTCTGAGCTCCCACAAGCTCAGGTTAGGTGTCTCTGTGGGTTTCCCCATCATGACCATGGACTCCCCCGACCCCCCTCGCCCCTGCTCATACAATCCTTCCACCCTCTCTTCAACTGAACTCCCGGAGCTTGGCTGTGGACCTCTGCATCTGCTTCCATCAGGTACTGGATGAAGGTTCTACAATGACAATCAGGGAAGTCAGCAATCTGATTACAGGAGGCCAGTTCAGGCACCCTCTCTACTATTACTAGGAGTCTTGTCTGGGTCATCCTTGTGGGTTCCCAGGAGCCTCTCTGGCACCAGGTTTCTCCTTAACCCTACAATGATCCACTCTCTCAAGATACCTCCCCCATCACTCTCCTGCTCCATCCTGCTCCCAATTGGACCTTCCAGATCCCTCATGTTCCCATCTCCCCATCCTCTCCCCACCCTCAGCAGGACATCCGGTCTGCTTCCTCTTCCCAGGGAGATCATGCATCCCTTTAGGGTCCTCCTCACTACCTTCTAGGTACTACGCTTCTCTAGGGCTGTATTTCTCCATCTTTTAATACTGCTATCAAATGTGCTTAGAATCACACAGAAAAAAACTACAGAATCGGCCTACTAGATGCAAAGAGACATACTTGTGTCATGTGTGTGTGACAGCGGGGCTCCTGGCTCCACACGCAGCTGATGGGCTTTCCCACCAGGCTAAGAAATGCCTGGTGTCTTTCCACTAAGAGAGGCATTTAACAAAACACACTCGAGCCTGTACAACTTTACATTGCGTTGTGTTTATTCCACTGAAAACCTGAAGACCGCACCCCAAAGGAGCCTGCAGGCAAGGCGGGCACTGCCCCTGCCTGCTATGTACATTCACAGTTCTGACACGCGGACTGAGGTCACTAGCAAGAGTAATCGGGAGAATGAACATCCGTCCCAGGTCTGCTCGGGATCTCCTCAAACATGCCCAGTGGCATTCCACAGGAATCCTTCACTTGCAGACGGTGGGGGCACGAGCCCCAGCCTCGGGACATCTTAGTTCATTAGTCTCCTTCACTGGCTTTTTAGTGGCTTTTCTCTTCTGAAAATTTGTACTCTATAATTATAAAAACCAACCCGTTGGCTACGAAGGCTGTGTTCACATTTCATTCAAACCTAACAAGCTAAGAGCCCAGAAATCAAGCTCCCTGCCCATCCTGCGGCAGTGTGGCGCTGTGTGGCTGAGGTTGAGGGGTTCTGTTTATTTCTCTTGGGGAAGCACACACTAACACTTTCTCTGAGAAAGTTAGTAAACACCTGTTTCTGCACTCAACTAGCCTGGTGGTGGTCATTTTCTACAGTAATGCCCCGAATGTAAAATCTAATTTAGGAATAAAAAACAAAATTCCAAAGCAACCATTGCTTTTGAAACAAACTAAACCTACGGTCACTGTTGTGCTTTAAGAATGAGTCTGTCATCAAAAAAACATGAAACCAGGCAATGCCAAAGGTGACAGCCTGGACCCTGTTCCTTCCTGACTTCATAGGGAGGGGGCAAGCACAGCAAACTGTGCGGTGTGTCTCCTGCAGCTGTCACCCCCAACAGAAGAAGACCACCTGTGCTCAGAGGGTGGTGGCTTTTCCTGTCACCATGGTAACTGCTGCAGAGGAGTTGGTGGTGGGCTTTGGACAGGACCTCCTGGCCCATCTCAGTATGTCTGCTCCGAGAGCTAGAATGACATCATGAAGACAAGGGGATGCCTTCCAGTTCCTTCCCTCTGCCTGATTCTTTACTCACGTTCAACGCTTTCACCAGTTACATGAAGTAGATTTTGTTATATTGAAACTGAAACACCAAACTGGCAATGCTTATTAAAAAAAAAAAAGATGGGGATTCAGAAAGGCTTAAGCAAAGCAAAAAAGGATCCTGGGGACAGTCTTTGTGGATAAATGTCCCACGGACCTAAACGAGGAGGAGGGCAGAGAGAGCTTTAAACTGTGGCCACCGGAGACAGCCTCTAAGTCTATCAAAAACAAGCCTGGAAGGCTTAAGCAAAGCAAAAAAGGATCCTGGGGACAGTCTTTGTGGATAAACGTCCCACGGACCTAAACGAGGAGGGCAGAGAGAGCTTTAAACTGTGGCCACCAGAGACAGCCTCTAAGTCTATCAAAAACAAGCCTGGAAATAAATATCTGTATGTGAACACGGAAAATGAAGTAGAAAACCAACTTTCTTTTTTTTTTTCTTTAAAAAAATGTTGAATGTTTTCCAAAGTACCCAAGTGAGGTTTATAAAATAGTCACGAGGTCCTGCATGGACACAAGAAACACTTATAATCGGATGATGCCCCATCACGTTGAGAGCCGAAGACGGAGGCACCGAATCAGGACAAGGTGACTGACTGCTCCAGGATAGGTGTGTATAGCCATGTGTGCAGAGGTCCCCACACTGTGTACACCATACAGACGACGAGGTAAAAGACGGACACAAACTCAAGGCCAGCAGATTCTAGGTGAGCACACAGCCATCCATACCTGTGCCCACTCAGCCTGTGGAGTCCTGCCCCACAGGGAGGCCCGAGCACCACCCGCCTGCCTGCCTGCCTGCCTGCAATCGGCGGGTGGGATATGCACACAGCTTAACTGCAAATGCCCAGCTGGGCCCTGAGACAGGAAACAAACACATCACAAGCCTTTTGGACCTCGGGTCTGCTGACATACAGAGACGCATGAGAAGACAGGGAAATGCAGATGACACGGTACACAAATGGGCTCCAGACCGCTGGAGGCAGGTGGTGATGTGGGAGGGGCCTCAGCCCTCCAGAATCTTCCATTCTTTAGTCCACTTTCTTACAAAAATTCTTTCTCCCAAAGTCTGAGTTTTCAGGGCTGAAGTCAATGCAGAAGCCATTGGGAGTTGGTGCCGGGGGTGTCTGTGCACAGTTGTCGAAATGTGTTTGGTCAGGGTACAAATAGTCCTCTGCGAAGTCAGGGTACATTTCTGCAAACCTACAAAAGTCATCTGCAAAGACAAGGAAGTTGACTATTGGGGCACAGAGAGAGGGAAACCCTCCCCAAGAAAGGTGAATTTTGTAAGACACTCCATCACCCCTACAACGGTGCAAAGACTGGGAATTCCTCAGGCCAGGGACTAAGGGCAGGGGCATGGCAGAGGAGCTCGAGATAAAGGCTGTGGGTGCTAGTATCACAGCTGAAGCCTCCAGGAGAGCAGCTCCAACAGGGCTGGGGTGGGTGTCCCCTCCCCCCCCCACCAAGGGTGCCCAGGTCAGAAGCCCCTGCAGCTTTTGCTGGTGTGGGCTTTAAACTTGCTTCTAAATCACGGGGAGAAACTGGACCCAGGACCATCGTATATTTCTGGGTTTCAGAAGAACCTTCTTTAAGAGACCAGGTGCTATGACAGTGAAGGAGGTAGCTTGATGTGAAGGGGCTCCGTTCATAACCCCAGGCCTTCTGATGCTATAGTTCCTTGCATACCTGGGCTGGGAGTGCTCACTACATTCCTACCCCTGCTTGAGGGTGACTGCTCCACTTACCAAATGTGATTCTTCCCTTCTCCTCTTGGTCAATAGCCTGGAATAGGTCAGTCACTGTTAATTCTGACACACCCAGTGCAGTCTTGAGGATGCAGGACAGGCTGATCTCATCTATGCTGCCATCCTCAGGCGATCCATACATCTGCCAGGGACAGTGGAGAGTTACCCTGGTGACCCTCATTCTGGTGTTGGCCAGGCCTGGTACATTCTCCCCACTGGTTCTGATCCCACCTTGTCAAAACAGCTGACACCCTTAAGCGGGTGGTGCCCACAAGTACATGGGTAGGTACCTGACAGTCATGCTTCTGTCTCTACTGGCCTCTACAGGTCCCTCACGGACACTGCACAAACACATCTTGGTTGAGACTTGGATGCTGTAATAACTGTGGGAGCAAAGCAACGAGTAGGGGGAGATGGAGCAGAGACTCAGCTCCAGCAGGGAGTAGCAGAAGGGCTCAGTGTGCCAGGGTAAAAGCTGGGGCTGCAGGGCTCTTGCAGCGAGAACCAGGCAAGCAGAAGAGTGTGCCTCCTTTGCCACCTAGTGGCCAAAGGATAAACTAACATCTTTGGGTGATCAAGGGGACAATGTACTGAGGTTGTGAGGCTGCGGTTTTGAAGAACACAAGGACTGAAAGTCTACACACATTTCTAATCAGGAAAGTACACTGTCTGGGAAAATGGACTACTAGGTTTCCCCAAAAAACCCTATGTGAAAGTTTTTCTACAGGAGTGGCACTAACATGGAAAACAAAGGGATCACAAAAAGGCAGGAACATGTATTTGATTTCACCTCCAGGTGTATACATGCTCTTGGGTCTTACTCATGGTCACAAAGCTGTTTTACACTTTGCTATTTGGCCCTAACTGGCGCTACAGTGTTGCACAAGGAACCCCATAAACTCATTTACTTTGCAAAGCTAGACTCGCTGGAATCTTTGATTGGTCTGCCCATGCTCTTCTGCTTTCCCAGAGTGTCACTAAGCCTTGTTACAAAACACTCCACACTGACACCTTGTCACTGTCAATACCGTCAAATGTTCCCTGGGCCATTATGTCTTGGGGACAGCAGATGAGGATGGGTGCAGGTGGGTATTGGGGAAGTCTGAGAGGTAGCCGCTGGCCCAACGAATGAGTGCAATGGGACACAGCTCTCTGGGGGAACAGTGAACAGATGCCCACTATCCTATCACAGTGGCGAGGTGGCCCCAGCATGTCCGTCAGGATGCTCGGTTTGCCTGCCACACTTGATCTGCCAAGCATCCATGAGAGGCTTGGACTGAGTGCCACTTGCCACCATCACCTATGACAAATTATACTTGATGACACTGGAGTCCAGGTGGGGCTGAGCCATCAGAACAGGACATAGTACAGGAACAGGAGAGTCAGGCTTTTCCAAACAGCAAGCGAGTGTTCACACCATAGAGTTAACGCTCCTGGAGTGTGCCCCACATAAGCCACCTTGGCAATTGGGGACAGTTCCCAATTGGGGACTGCTCTGGTGTGGCACACCAGATAGTAAGAAAAGAGCTTTTGGAGGATGTAAGAGATGAGGGGTCCCTGATACCTCTAAGCAGATCTATGAGGGTACCCTCAGTGAATCATGACTAAGAGGGAAAGAACCACTCTGAATGTGGGTGGCACCATCGGACCGGCTGTGGTGAGCTGAGCTCCAGCACTCCTTTGGCTTGGTTTTCTGGCTGTGACTGCAATGCAGCCAGCTGTCTCACATT